ATGGAGATATAAACCACCCAGTCGTAATGGGAGGAGAGACGGTTCTTCATGTGAGGATAAGGAGCAGCGTGGGCAGGTATTAGTAGTGACCGAGGGAGAGCGAGAGGATCGCAGAGGAAATCCCGAGGATCAGGGGGAAAACCATGATGTATGGAACCCGGAAAACATTAGGAGATTACAGGATAAAGACCCTGTGATTGTTTTCTTCAAGGAACGAAAAGAAGCGGCGTTGGACAGACTTGAGTTTGCAGAAATTGCAGGAATTGGGTCGGAGGCGAAAGCGTACTGGGGGCAGTGGAATCAATTAGAGGTGCAGGAAGGTAAACTGTATAGACGATGGGAGACGCCAGTCACGCCGACTCATCCCATACTCCAACTGGTGATACCTAAGGAATTGCAAAGAGAAATATTTCAGCAATTACATTACCGTCGTACAGCAGGACATCAAGGAGAGAAACGGAGTAGATCCAGCATACAGCAACGGTTCTACTGGCCAAACTACACGAAGGATATTAAGAGATGGTGCCAATACTGCACTGTCTGTGCTCGGAGGAGACCTGGAAAAGGGTTGAGAAGGCGAAGGTTAAAACAGTCGAAAGTAGGAGCGAGTTGAGAAAGGAAAAGGGGAAGGCAGAGGAGAAGTTGAGGGGAGTAAGAGTAGAATGGGGAAGACAAGGGCGTATCCGAGGGCGGATACTAATAGAAGTTGGGGGGAGTTGTGGAGATTTCGGGGGTGTGTAACCCACAGGAGCAGTAGACTAGATCAGGATTGATAGATTGAACTCACAGTATAGATAGAGTAACCATATATAGACTAAGGACAGGATAAAATATAGAGGCACATAATTATATCAACACCCCTGGGTGCAACCATCTTGAATCATACATACGGAGGTGGTCTAGGGAAAACAAGGAATGTAAACAAGAACGCGATATATAGAGTAAAATAATCAACGCGGTTATGTACTAGTGGTCAACATAATATATGAGGAGATTTGAATAGAATGAATAGTCTAAGTTGTCAGAGAGAGGAATATTTACTTAAAAACAAGTTGCATAAGATGATGCAATTATTGTACCAGCCACGGGTTGCGTCACGAGGTGAAAGCGATTGCACCAGCAAACAAAATCGGCGTGTGTTTTGACAACGCGTGCAAAACAACAGCACGTAGGGGGGCGTTGCCAGCTAGGTATATAAGGCGCACCGAATCGCAGCAAAAGAGCGTTATTTTTCAGGTTAGGTTTAGGAAGAAGAAGAAGAAGAGGAGGGAGCAGAAAACGAAGAGAAAGTGGGAGAAAGCCGTTTAGGTCTATAGAGAGAGAGAGAGAGAGAGAGAGAGAGACAACGGAGGGAGTAGAAGGCCGGGTTTTCAGGTAGGTGAAACCCGGAGAAGAACGGGAGAGGGGAATAAAACAGAGAAGGAGAAGAACGGGATTTCAGTTAGGTAGAGCCAGGTGCGACTACGAGGGAGACACCCGTGGAGGCTGCTTAGGTCTACGCGAAGCAAGGACGAACGTGAGAGAGGAAGACGAAACCGGCGACGCGTTAATGCTGTAATATTAGACGAGATAGATATAGGATCCGCTGCCTATACGAATGCAGTGGAATTACTTGTAAACTAGTAGGAAGAAATAAAACTATAACGGTACAGTTAACCGAATCTAACTGTGTTCTGTTCCACTGGTACTACCTGTTATTTGGCTACGGGCATCACCGTCCTGCCTAATATAACGGCAGGAGCGAACACTGAATCCAAACAACTAGGACACGCGTTAACTATATAACGCCTGTCGTACCATAGTCGGCTACGCCTAGGGCCACTACAATACTGTTGTTTGGGCAGCAAGTGCCACTTGTTGTTGACACAGGGGCTGAGCTGTCCCTATTGAATCGTGTCACCTACGACGGCCTTCCAGCGCGGAGGCCGAGTCTCCATTCCGTGGAGGTTACGATGGTAGATGTGCAAGGTGGGTCTCTGAGGGCCCGACATGGCGTCTGGGCGGAGTTGTTTCTCGGAGATCAGGGTTTTAGGCACGAGTTAATCGTGATGGATAGCGGCCTTCAGGGTGGTTTGCTGGGAATGGATTTCCTAAGAAGTTACAATTGCCTGATTGATGTCCGTAGGGGCATTTGACTGTTGGTGATACATTGCATGTTATGCAGGAGAGCCCGGGGTTAGTTCCTTGCGATGTTGGTGCAATGGATCGCGTAACAATCCCTGCTGGGCATAGATGTATCATCATGGGTGAGGCGGTTACTCATGGGGAGAGCACTGCCTTGCAATGGTAGAGCCATTAGAGTGTTTCAGGACTGTTATGGAAGGCAAGGGTATCCTGATGGCACGGTGTCTGGTAGACATGTGTAGTGGCCAGGTGCCTGTTTCGGTCCTGAATTTAGGAGATGAGGATGTCGTTTTTGAGCCTGGAGAGATATTGGCTCACCTCGAGGTTGTGCGGGTTGTGAGGCGGTTGGGCACCGGTGAGTTCGGTGAAGCCTCGCCTCTTTCGGACAGTTTTGGTCTGCCAGCGCATATGCGGGTAATGTTGGAGATGATTGACTCTGGGTTGTCTCGTCGGGAGAGATGTGAGGTTTCAGCTCTGCTTCAAGAGTATGCGGGTTTGTTCACTGCTCCTGGTGAACAGCTTGGGCATACGGGGATGGTCAAGCACCGGATTGATACTGGCGCTCATTATCCCATCAAGCAAGCTCCACGTAGATGTCCGTTGGCTCGCCAAGAGATAATGAACGTGGAGGTCGATAAGATGTTGGCATCCGGCACCGCCCGGCCCAGCAGCAGTCCGTGGGCGTTCCCGGTGGGGTTGGTCACCAAGAAGGATGGCTCGACGAGATTCTGCATAGATTATCGCAAGCTCAACGACGTTACCCGTAAAGATGCCTATCCACTACCGAGGATCGATGATACGCTGGATTCCTTGGACGGCGCCAGTTGGTTTTCTACTCTCGACTTAACTTCGGGTTATTGGCAAGTGGAGATGGATCCGGAGGATGCTGCAAAGACTGCTTTTGGGACGAGGAGAAGTTTCTATGAATTCGAGAGTTGGAGTCGTCCACACAGTGTTGCTGATGTGCGGAGTTTTCTAGGGTTTGCTAATTATTATCGGCAATTTATTCCTGATTTTGCGACCCTGGCAGGGCCGTTGGTTTAGCTGACCAACAAGAACATGCCTTTTTGTTGGGGGGAGGCATGTGAGGCCTTCAGCGGCTTGAGATTGCTGCTGACGTCGTCGCCGGTATTGGCTTACCCGCGCTCGGATGTTGAGTTTATTCTGGACACTGACGCTAGTGCTACTGGCATCGGTGGTGTCCTGTCACAGTTCCAGAGTGGAACGGAGAGGGTAATTGCATAAGGAAGCGATGGTCTCTCTGCAGCTCAAAGACGGTACTGTACGACCAATCGGGAGTTACTTGCTGTGGTGACTTTCGTGAAGCAATTTTGGCACTATCTGTATGGTCGTCTATTTTTGGTGAGAACCGATCATGCTTCTTTGAATTGGTTATTGAATTTCAAAGACCCAGAGGGTGTAGTGGCGAGGTGGATTGCTTTTCTGGATACATTTGACATGAGAATCGAGCACCGTGCGGGTAAGCTTCCTGGCAATGCTGATGGCTTGTCACGTCAGCCCGTGTGCCGAAGATGTAAGAGGGAGGATTGTCCGGATTGTCGTCTTCCTAGGGTGTGTCCAGTTGGTTGTCGCTTCTCTCACGACCCCCATCGTTAGTCGCAGGACGGGTGGTCGATACGAGCACGATTGTTGATCCATCGGAGGATGGTTTACCCCTTGAGGTGGGGGCGAAGTCTGTTTGCTTGGTTGATGAGCATCAATTGGCTACTCCTGCGGATGAAGCGAACGCTGAGTTAGATGGTGTCTTATCGCAGTGGTCTATGCAGCGGATTCGTCGGTGGCAGCGTAAGGATGGTGCCATCGCTGCTGTCTTGAAGGTGTTGGCGGCGGGCGGTATCCCTCCTGCCGTCGCGGATTTGTCATCTTCATCTCCGGAGGGAAGAGCTGATCGAGTGCTTTGGGACGAACTAGAGGTCCACGAGGGAGTGCTCTATCTTCGGCAGGTTTTGGACTGTCAGCCAAGCAGCGATGTTTTGTGTATGGTGGTCCCACCGGTCATGCGCAGGGAGATGTTCGAGGTCATGCATGGCGGTCGAGTTGGGGGACACCTCGGCATCATGAAGACTATGGCTAGAATCCGACAGCGTTTTTTTTGGCCGGGTATTCGGCAGGATGTTGTGAGGTGGCTTCGGGAGTGTGATTTGTGTTGCAGGAGGAAACCGGGGCATCGAAGGAATGCTCCCCTCTGTCAGCGGATTTCAACGGCACCATGGGAGAGAATGGCCATTGACTTTATGGGTCCGCTTCCCGAGACTTCATCCGGCATGAAGTATATCCTTGTGGCTTGTGATTACATCACTAGCTGGACAGAGGCGTTTGCTTTGCCGGATATGACTGCCCAGACAACAGCGGATTGTCTGGTTTCTGAGTTTTTTCTTCGTTTCGGAATGCCTCGTCAGTTGCACTCTGATCAGGGAAGGAATTTTGAGTCAGGTGTGTTCGCTGTTGGGCATCGAGAAGACTCGGACAACGCCCTGCCATCCTCAGTCAGACGGGTTGGTTGAGAGGTTTAACTGGACCTTAAATAATATGTTAAGTAAGGTTGTTAATGAGCGACGAGATGACTGGGATACCCTTTTGAGCTTTAGAAGAAGGAGGAGGCTGAGCGAGGGACAGGGAAGGCAAGGCAAAGGACGCGAGGGCATAACGTTGGTGTTTTGTACCTTACATGCTAGGGCGCTCTACTAATTATAAACACAGGTCTACTGATAAAGGTTTATTAGGGAAATCTATGCTGAGATATCCCCTAACCTGTAACTTTTTTGGAATTACAGCGCATGAGCTGTGGCGGGATGCGAGAAGGATTTCAGGTGCCATGCCTCTCTATCCCCAATAACGATCAACAAAACTGATAATAATTCCATTATGCCCAGTTACTTTATTTCTGAAATAAAAGTTACCAAATCACTGATGGGGTGGCATCAGTGCTGATTGTTTCACTGCGACATTCTACCACAACCAATCAATACCCATGATTTTACTTGATCGATCATAAGTCATGATCATATGATCAATAAGTCATCAGACGTCAACGCCGAGATTTTTTCCCAATGGATTTTTTGCTCGCATCTTTAGTACGTGTGTCGTCTTGCTTTGAGAGCCGACATCGTCATTTTCGAATGTCGCAACAGTTTGCGGAGATACATCCGTCACCAGGCCGCGCCACTGTCGCACTAGAGGAGTCACACTGATGAAGATTCCAGATGCTAGAAATGATGCTCCGAGAACATAGATGGCGCTGTCCACTGTTCCCGTTCTATCGATTAGACATCCTGTTGTTAGTGGAATAAAAAAAACCTCGCTATCTTGACGTGTAATAAATTAAACTACACACATTATGATGATATTATGTAAATGTTTTTTTTACCATTAACCAAGATGAATTAACGGGAAACTAATGATAAAGGTGAAGATGAAGATGGAGACGAAGATGAAAATAATGATGAAGATGTCATGACGTTAGCTCCAAAAGCGCAACAGTAAAGCATATATATTAACTATAAGTAGAATATAAGCTCCAGTAATATATAATAGAATAGAAGTATATCACATACCAAGGTCACACCTGAAACGTACCTATCAATAGTGGGTCTACCATCATCAACAATCCTTCAAATAACATCAATATGGCGTATCCGTTGCCGACTTGCGCAGGTCCGCAAATGTCCATCGTGATGGGGACCAGGGTGGAGAAAACTCCGGCCACCAACACACCCATGACCATCGTCCATCCGGCCAGCACCTCGTTCACTGTGATGAAGATGCAGGCGAACGCCAGACCGCCGCTCACCGCTAGCAACGACCCCGTGCCTATCATCCGTACTGTTGGCGCACGGAAAGCATCGTGGTCCCAGAATAAACCCCACAGCACGCGACTGATCGTCTCTGCGATGCTCATGAAGCCAATCATGGTGGCGCCACTGAACCTGCCATCGCCTACCTTGTCGGTGATCAGCGGCAGCAGCTGGTAGATGTTGATATATGTGACGAGAAACAGCACGGCGGAAAGCGTGAACAGTAAGAACGCATCGTCCTTGAACAGGTACCAAGGAAACGTGACGACGTTGTGGTCGTTGTCGTCGGCGGGCTCGGCGAGGGTTGACATGCTGCGCACGTACACTTCTAGCGAGCCGTAGACACTTTGCAACCCCACCTCACCCTCCCTCACGGAATCCAACCTGCGGCGGCTCTCCGGCGACGAGGCACGCGCGACGACGACAACTGGCCGACGACCCGCTCTGACGACAGTGTCGACAGCAGCGCCCTCACGCGGCGTCGGCAGCGGATTCTGCAGCGGTCGCATCAGCGTCGCGCCAAACACGATGTTGAAGGTCAAGCCGCCGCAGATGAGGAGGGCGCCACTGATGCCGTACTCGTCGACGAGGTACTGGGTGAGGTAGGAAAAGAGCAGAGAGCCGACGCCCGAACCGCACATCACCAGACCGGATGCGATCGATACGCGCTTCCGGAAGTAGACGCCCAGGATGGAGAAGGCCGGGTTGATGACTAATCCACAGCCCATGCCTGCAGGAGAGCAGCGCGCATGCGCAAGAATATAACGTCATCGTCGCTAATATATCATGGTATACGATCATAAGGTGACTCTGCACAATTTAAAATCGTAGAATGACACATGCATATAAGCTTTATACTGATAGCTTTTGCGTGCCACAATATATCTACGCTAAACCTCGCGCTATATACGGTCAGTTTCTTCGATAATATGAGGAGCGAATAATAATACGAGGATAATATTATCAGGAGTGAATAATCTATTATTATTCACTCCTGATAATAATGTAACGTTTTTGCACAAGAATATTGTGTATGTATGCGACCGTGCCGCGCGCAACTCAACGTAAATATCTAGTTATATTATTATATAAACAAAGTCAGGGTATAGTAGGGCGTGGTTTAGAAATTTAATTGACGAGCCTTCGAGATTACATCTCTTATCAGGTCAGCAGGAATTGGAATGTCAATTCCGCAATGTTCGCGCGCCTGAACTGATGAGAGATGTCATCTCGAAAGCTCGGTCAGATTTACATGGGGCTTAAATCACCTGTATTCGTATTACCATTTGGACTTTGTTTTTATCTACCGGGGGTTGGTGGTGTGACGTTACTCTCAGTATACTATATATAATATCTAGTATTTATATATATTCAGTATATGATCTAAGTAGGCATATAGTATATATATATATATAGAATTGTATACCAGCACACCGCACACCAGCTGGAAGTCCTCATGTCTCCTTCTCACACAAATTGACTGGTCATGGGTTGGTAGTGTATACGGGTGCAAGGTCTGGAGACGAGTGATCGGTATTGGTTTGCACGATGATTAGGACCGATAGGGGTTCGGTGGCCAGGGCACCCGCGGCCACACAGCTCCACCGTACGACATTCACGTCTGTGACATGTTTGTGTGCCTCGTGGGGTAGGTGGACGCTCGCGGGATGGGGAGCAGGAGGGAGGCGTGAATTATCTGAGTCTCTCTATATAGGCGGTATCTAGAGGGTCTGTATATCGATGAAGTGTGCATAATATGTATGCTTACGCCTATTGTTCTCGGGCTGGGTAATGGTGTACGGTAAAGTAGGGTGAGTGGTGACTACGTCATTATAGATACGGGGAAGTGGGTAATATCTAGCAGCAATCTATAGCTCTATCAATGCTTTGTCGTTCGTTTTTCTTGTTTGTGTCAAATTCTTTTTTGGTGCGCCTGTTACATTTTAGGCTTCATGGCTTGTCGCCTCAGGTGTAGTTTGCGTGTGTCAGAGGGGGTGTATGGTGGGTGTGTGTGTGGGTGGGTGTGGTTGTGCGGTGTGTTGGGATGTGTGGGTGTGCTGGGCGGCGCGAGTTAGAGGCTGTTGATTCGTATGACAAGGATGTGTGTGTTGTGTGGTGAGGTAGGGGGGGGGAGNAATATAGTTTCATGAACTGAGAACTCCTCGTAACCTCGTAAGTAATAGTCTTCAAAGTCCAAGGGACTATATATCGAACACGGAAAGGACTCCAAGGAACTGTGCATAATTATAATAGAAGAAGAAGTCGAGATTAATCCAGTTAATAGCTTTGCACTGCTGGTCCACAGGCACTTGGAAACTCGCAGCTAGGGCCTGCATACCTCCCAAATCCCATTGGTTGATACATATCACGTGCCTGAAACTCCCGTTTTAAATAAAACTTTTATGGTGCATTGTGACCCTAATCCTAACCCTAACCCTAACCCTAACCCTAAACCTAACCCTAACCCTAATCCTAACCCTAACACTAATTACAATTTAATTTAAAAAATTAACTAGATTTGTATCAACCAATGGGACGTTGGGAGGTATGCAGGCCCTAGCTGCGAGTCACTTGGAACGTCTCAATAAAAAAAATTAATGGTAAATAAACATGAAATGTACCAAAGAAGTCTTAATGTTTCTCTAGGCCTACTCTATTTCACCTGTGAATGCCGGTCAAATGCTGATCTGCAACACACAAATCCACCGTATGCCCGCCCGCGCTGTGCAGCGTGCACAAACAACATGAATAACTAAGAGAGTGCGTGAATAACAGCGTGCACAGATATAAACAGAATAACTCTCTTATTCATGTTGTTTGTGCACGCTGCACAGCGCGGGCGGGCATACGGTGTATTTGTGTGTTGCAGATGAGCATTTGACCGGCATTCACAGGTGAAATAGAGTAGGCCTAGAGAAACATTAAGACTTCTTTGGTACATTTCATGTTTATTTACCATAATTTTTTTTTATTGAGACGTTCCAAGTGCCTGTGTGCTGGTCTGATTGTCAACACGACAACAGTCAACAGACAACACCACGACCACCAGCCACCACCGCTCGTAGGGTCTATGTCTCCCTGACCTCTTTGACCTGGCTCGTTTAGCTATTTCTGAATAACCCTAACCCTAACCCTATATATATATTATAATTATAAATAGCTAAACGAGCCAGGTCAAACAGAGGTCAGGGGGACATAGACCTTTAGT